ACATTTGGCGGGATTTAGCTTTAGGTTGTACCGATGCAAACGTTCAAAGAATTTCCTCAGGTGTGTCAAATGATCCGAACTCTCGCGGGATTTGATTATGACGTCGTCCAAGTACACTTCAATTTCCTTGTGAATCATGTCGTGAAAGATGGTCGTCATGGCTCTCATGTAAGTAGCACCGGCATTCTTGAGACCAAACGGCATTACCCTGTAATGATATACACCCCAAGGTGTGATGAAGGCCGTTTTTCCGCGTCTTCCTCATCCATCAAAATTTGGTGATAACCCGCGTAACAATCCACAAATGACTGCATCTCATGTTTGGCGCAGTTGTCTATCAAAATATGGATATTTGGCAACGGAAAATTATCCTTTGGGCTAGCCTTGTTGAGATCCCTGTAATCAACACAAATTCTGATTTTTCCATCTTTCTTGGCGACCGGAACAACATTGGCCAGCCAGGTTGGATATTGTGTCACTTCCACCAATCGGGACTCTATCTGCTTGGTGATTTCCTCTTTAATCTTCAAACTCAATTCAGGCTTGAACTTTCGAGTCTTTTGCTTCACCGGTTCGAACCCTGGATTGATAGGCAGCTTATGAGACACGACATCGGTACTCAACCCTGTATGTCACCGACTTCCCAAACAAACACATCATGGTATTCGGCAAGCAGGCGAACCAGGCTCTCCTTCTGAGTGTCATTCAAATGAGTGCTGATCTTAACCTCTTTGGCATATTCTGAATCGCCCAAATTCACCGTCTCAGACATTCAATTGGTTCGATTACAAGAATGCGTGGATGAATTTTTTATTTGTCAGACCAAATACTCATTCTTGGTTTATTAAGTATTGTATAGAAGCTTCGACTTCTGTTATCCCCAGGTGGTTCTACGAGTGGTGGAGTTACTTTGGGGGAAATGAACAAGTTATGCCTAAAAGGTTTAGAGATGGATACCTACAATTTCAAGTTGAAGAGAACATCTCCACCCTTCCAGATCATATAAAGCTATGTAAGTATTTCTTTAAGAGACGTCTATCTTATATTGTAAGTTGGACATTTTGCGTTTCTGAATTTGACAGGATAAAGTATCTCTCCAAAGAAACCAGAATTAAAGGATGGTCTCCAAAGGTTAGAGAATCTCCTTCAAAGAAGCCACAAATCAAGAGTTCACCATCTAAGAGTGAACTAAAGAAAAGACTTGAGAAGGCATTGTCTGATTTAGACAATGAAAAGGATAATCCAGATCAAGAGGCTATTGAACAACTTCTTGAACAAGCTTCGTCACAAAGTGACGATAATGGTGATATGCTAATTCCAAAGGCTTTAGCACAATCTTACTTAAATCCATTTGATTAACCCTAATTGAGCTTTCAAAAAGCGGAATAATTAGTCTTCGAGATAGACATTAAAAATGGGAATTATCTCTGAAGAAAGTAAAGGAGTTTCAAAGAAACGGAATCTTTACTGGTTAACACTTGGACCCCAGAAGGACCCTCTATTATATTAAAAGCTGGTTATCACGTGAAGATACTTTCAAATCCGGAAAGAAAGGTATCTGGACCCACCACTATCAAAAGCATGGCTCAGACCATTATCACAAATGAAAAGCAAAAGAAAAAGCAGAAGATTCGCTCTTATCTCTTAAAGATTCGTTCTTATCTCCATTGCTTTTTACTTTTTGAAGTCTATAAAATAGACTTGTTGTAAATGCTGGAGGGCATCCGAAATTTTCTATCAACTAAGAAATTTCAAGAAAGACTCTCTCTCTCTGTAATCATGTTTGCTCTTGTGTTGAAATAAAGAAGTTTTCAATTTTGTAAGTTTTCTTGTTCCTGTTAAATACTCATTTTATTCATTTAAATTGATTCAAAAATGCAAACTTGGGTCATGGCGCGAGGCCATGTTGCCTTTTAAACATCATAACAAAATTCAAAATCAAGAAAATGCAGAAATGGTGGGTCTCGGGCCTCTTCCGGACTACCACCGATTTTAATATGCACAAAATAACTCCTTTCTACCACAGAGTTCGGGACATCAGGATTGGCGTGGACGTCCAATTCAGTAGCACCTCCCCTGGTTCAGCGTCACGAATGCCAGCTGGCTCAGCCTCCTCCTCGATGATGGCATTGATCTCCTAGAAAAGGTCACAGATTCCTTCCCCATCGTCTTCAGGCTCGGCACGCTCCCGGACTGGAAAGGATTGATAAAGATGCGGGATCGGCTTAGTCAACCCTTGATCCCTTTTCCTCTTCATCTTCATATCATCATCTGTGGGGATGTACCCCAAACCATACCTTGATCCTGTAGCAAGGATCGGAACTGGCTCGATGATCCTTTGCGCATTCCTTCCTAATCCGAAACCTGATTCGAATCCGCTCTGCAGCATTACCGTGGCGATCATTTTGTACACGGCTGGCATGGGGGTCTGCGGGGCCAAGCCCTCATCGGTGGCATTTACCAACTCCACCGTGTAGAAGTCCGAACCTTGTGGTGTTTCATCCGAGACCGGCACTTACCTTCCCGATTGACCCTTTTCACCATGAATCACCAGTTCTTCATTTTTCCACACCAGTTTTATCATTTGGTGGAGAGTGGAGGGGACGGCCCCAGCTGCGTGGATGAATGGCCTTCCCAACAGAAAGTTATAGCTGGTGTCGATGTCCAACACCTGGAACTTTGCCTTGAACTCTGTGGGGCCCATTTGGATGGTCAGGTTCACAGCTCCCAACGTGTCTCTCTGCACACCGTCGAATGCTCTCACATTGACCTGGTTTTGCTCCAACTTTCCGAGGTCAAACCTTAGCTGCTTCAATGTGGACAGGGGGCATATGTTCAAACCAGATCCTTCGTCTACCAGAACACGGTTGATGACCTTTCCGCGACATATCACGGTGATGTGTAGAGCTTTGTTGTGGGCCCTCCCTTCGGCCGGCATTTCATCATCGCAGAAACTGATACGGTGTCCCCGAATGACCTGGTGAATCATAGCAGCTACATTGTCGCTGCTTGTACCCGAGGGCACATATGTGTCATCCAGGGCTTTCATCAATGCCTGTCTGTGGGACCAGGAGCTCATCAGCAGGGCCCACACCGAAATTTAGGCTGGAGTTTTCTCCAAGTGCTTGACGATGGAGTAGTCTTTGGGTTGCATTCTCCTCCAGAACTCCTCAGCTTCTGCTTCGCTGATCGGTCTCTTGGCATGATCTTTCTTTTGTCCTCCGTGAGCAAGCTCATCAGGAGTGTAACAACTTCCAGATCTAGTCATGCCCTGAGCCACGGCCGTTTCTATAACGAACTTGGGCTTGGCGAGAGTCTTTGCGGGCACCAAGGAAACAACCTTTGCAGGTGTCAGAATGACAAACTCTCCTTTCTCCATGACGCTCAAAGAAGCGACAGCCCTCTCCAAGTCTTCCTGAACAACAGGAGTAATTCTCTTGGCTTCACGCTCATCTTCGTCAGTTTCTATCATGTTGATGTTTCCACCCCCACGATTTGGCAACGGATTCGTGTTGACGTTTGGCGCCGCGGGCTGAAGAGAGACCACTTCCTGGTCAATCAAGTCCTGGATCTTGTGCTTGAGATTGATATAATCTTCTGTATCATGTCCAACACCATTGGAATGGTAAGCACATCTCTGCTCCGGTCTGTAGAATCTGGAATTGACATCCACGGGCTTAGGGCCCACAGGGTGGATGTATCCGGCCGCGGATAATCTTTCGAACAATTTAGTTCTGCTTTCCGCCAATACGGTGAAGTTTCTGGAGGAATTCTTCTCAGACCTGGGGCGAGGGGGATCATACCCGCCCTGTTGTGGGGGAGGGACTTGTTGATAACTGCGGGCATTTGGTCGTGGAGCTTGGGCTCTGGGATGGGGATTTGTTTGGTAGTTTGGCATTGGGGCTCGGTAATTCGGATGGGGGTTTTGATATGCTGGGGTTTGTATTTGATATGTCGGAGACGGTGCTCGATAGCTTGGTTGTACATTAGCGCAGCTAGGAGCGACACTTTGGTAATGGGGAGGGACTTGATAAGCTTGGGGGTAGTTTGGATATGTGGAGGGAAAATTTTGGGGAATCGGGGGTGGATTTTGATACGACACAATATGGGCATCTGGATAATGGGGGCAGCATTGTAGTGGCCGGAGTGACTTGAGTGTGGATGGTAGGCTCGATGAGGCTTTGATGGAGGATTGGAGCGGCCTTGGGGACGTGGTAAGTTTCTGGGGATTTTTCTTCCCCCGTGCGAGATAGCGTTAACCTTCTCTCTTTTCTTCCTACCAGTCCGGAAGATCCAGGCGATGCAGACACTCGGGCTATCTTCCCCAACTTCAGGCCATCTTCAATAGTCTCGCCCACTTTGACTATTTCGGCGAACTTGGCGCTAATTAACAAGATGATCCTGTCATAATACTTGGGCTCCTGCATCCGCACGAACACCTCCACAATCTCTTTTTCTGTCATCGGAGGCCTCACCCTTGCTGCCTCTTTCCTCCATCACTACGCGAATTCTCGATAGCTTTCTGTGGGCCTCTGCTTCATCTTCTCCAAGGAGTACCGATCAGGAACTATCTCGACGTTATATGCGAATCTGTCGATGAAATCCTTAGCTAGTGCACTCCAACTGGGCCACTGTCGAGTCTCATGTGACGTGAACCACTCCAGGGCTTCACCGCATAGGCTCCGGCTGAATAACCTCATCAGCAAGGCTTCATCTTTACCAACTCCCACGAGTTGGTCACAGTATGCTCTCAGGTGTGCCATGGGGTTGCCCACCCCTCCGAAGGTATCAAACTTCGGGATCTTGAACCCTTCAGGTAGGTTCAAGTCTGGGTGGATGCATAGTTCTGCGTAGCTTAACCCGGCGACGTCTGGAGTACATTGCAATTCTCTCATCGCCCTCTTAATCTCCTCCTTTATGTCTACCTTCGCTTCTTCCCTCGCCCTCCACTCTCTTTCTTACTCCTCATAATGGTCCAACTCGGAGCCGTGCACCTCATGCTAGGTCGGGACAGGGACTTGGAAAGTAGTTCTTTTGGGGAGGGGTGCAGCTATGGAAGGGCTTGGGACATTCTGTGCGGTTTGATAGTTTTGCGGATAATTTTGGGGATTGGTATTTTGGTTTAAGTGGGGGTGTGGTGTTTGGGAATTGAAGGCAGTGGGATTTTGGGTTTGATTTTGGGGTAGTGGGGCTGCTTGAGTATTTTGGGGATGTGGTGGCATTTGTGGAGGATTGTTTGGAAGTGGGGAGGGAGTTTGATAGGAGACCGACGCGTATTGGGGGTTTTGGGTTGTCATGTCTACCCCAGACGGGTTGTGCACGGGTGTCGGTGGACGTTGCTGAGTAGGATCCGAGCTGGACGAGGGGAAGTATGTAGGGGGTCTTGCGTCGAGAAAGTTGGGGCCGAATCCGAGCGGAGGGGTGTCTTGCCTCCGTTGCATCTCTACCCTCATGTCAGCTATTTGCTGCATCAACTGCGCAATAAGCTCATTCTGCTCTGCCACAGTTGGCTGAGCCACCACGACATCTGTGAGGCTGATTTGTTCATTGTTATCGCCCATGTCTGTATTTGTGTTTAATCCGGGGAAGGAATCTGCCCGACCTTTTGATCTGGTGAAGTAGTGATGATCTGCCAGCTTTATCGACACAGATCAGTAAGAGGTACCTGAGAGGTAAAAACAACTCAAAGGCAAATTTGTTAGTGCATATCCGGAGTACAAAATGCATAATATCGCACATAAAACAGATAAACACACAGGTCGCTTTGTTTGAGGATATCTTAACCCACGAATGAGGACGAAAATATATTCTGAACAAACAGGAATTTGTTTGTTTTGACGTCATCTCGGGAAAGATGAATCACGTTGAGCTATGGTCTTCTTGAAGCTGCTTTTCGACGTCCGTTGATCTCATCTTCGCATCTCCGAAACATGGAGGAGAATGAAAATTTTTGGTGATAGGGGCCGGGCCGGGAAAGGCTGCCTACGTATCTCACGAGGAGAATTCAGGCCAAACGTAGTTCGGATACATTTTCATTCATTCTCTCATTTTGATTACAAGGGAATTGGAAAACAACATTGAAATTTCTAGAAGACAACATTTGGCGATTTCTTGTCTTGTGGCTGCGTCATTCCTTTCCTTTCAGACAGTCGGAAATGGAGGCTTGTAGATGATTTCTTCTTCATCACCCTCCTCAATCACTCCACGGCCGGGGCTACTGTTATCTGCTCCCTGATCACTGGCGAGGTATTTTCCGCCCTTTAGGTTGCTATGGGTCGCCAATTCTTCGTCGAGTGCCGCACTTCTGGCCAACAACACGGCAGTGTCGATGTCTATCTTCGCCTCTCTCGCCTTTCCTTCGCGTATCTCCAAACGAAGCAAGTGCAGCCTTTTTCTTAGGCTTTCGGTCTCCATCTCAACCTCATTCTTTCTTCTTATCTGTGACGCCAGATCTTCATCCAAGGTCGTGACCGCAGCTTTGTAAATTGCCGTGGTCATGTCTACTTTAAGTCCTTCCTCCTTAATCTTCTGAATTTCTCGAGTGACTCGCTCGATCTTTCTTCGCAATTTCTCCTCAGTGAGCTCCGTCTGGACGTTCTTGCCTTTGTCCATAGCGGTGATTCAACTTTCCTGAGATGATAGGGCAGTATTTAGGATTTATGGTATGGGAGATGGATTTTTCGTAAGAAACTTGAGACTTGGGAATTTGGTCGGACGTTTGTAATAGTGACTTCTGTGTACTTTTTGGAATTTGGCTAGGAGTGGGTTTACGATATCCTCATTCAAAGCAACGTAACATATAAGCATACACATATATCGCGTCCTAATCATGCATGGGGACCCTTTTGTGCCAAGGGTGGGCCTAGCACATTCGAATGATGTACGTGTGAATTTAAACCAAATTAAAATAATCCCCCCAAAATAATACTTAATAATGAGTAAAATGTTCGAAAAGAGAAATAGACAAACCCACGCAGGGGCTATTTAGAAAGTGCGATAATATCAGGCCCACGCAGGGGCTAAAATAATGCGAATACAACAAGGAAAAACCTGCGTAGGGGCGATATCCACTATGCTGCTCCGGACGATCCCGCTCCGTCGTCGTTTTTCTGGTTTTTGTGCTGTTGGAACATGTACCTCAGCATCAACAGAAAGCCTTCTCCCAGACGCCCTTTGTCTTCCAGGCTCTCGTATCGCATCCTCTCAATTTTCTGCTGGATCCAGTTGTCGAACTCTTCATACCCTTGCTTCAGTCTCTCGATCTCTCGAGTTCCCTCTCGAGTGCGTCTTGATTCTCTACGAATTTGGTGTATACCTCATTAGCTTCTTCCTTTAATTCTCGTAATTCGGCCTCTGCTTTGGCCTCTTTGTCTGTCACACTGCGAAAGCTACGCGGAATTTGAAAGGAGATGTTTTGTATATCCCTCTTCAACCATGCTTTGTAGCCTTCGTCACATCCAGCGTTGAATCGGTCAGGGGCGATACTGTCTTTGCCCATGTGCTTGGCATTCTTCCATTCTCTGAGCATCTCTGTAGCGTCGTCCACCCTGTCATCCCCAATATCGTATACATAAGCGCCATAATACGCTTCTCTAGGAACAGTCTGCCTCCTTCCGAACTGTCGCAAGACTCGGAATGGCGCGTAAGGGCGAATTCCTCGAATGCCAGGTAGAGGAAGCACGGCACATCTTCGACTTTCTACGACAATTTCTTTGGATATGAAGCGGTCGAGCATCCATTGGAGGTCCTCTTCTCTCAACTCGGAGAAAATTTGGGCCCATCTCCCTCTCGTTTTCCGATTGTTCATGTTTGCCCAAAATAACAAGTCATTCAAGTCCTTGAGGGTGTTCTTGTTGTCGAGAGTGTGCAGTTCTCGAGTTCCGGCACCCTTCGCCAAGTGGCTGAGAATCCACCATTGGAGGAGCAGATTACAACCCTGGAAGTACCGATGTCCCTCTTTGCACTTACCCAAAGCGCGATATATGTCTGACAATATGACCGGGGCTACGGAGTAGTACTTTGTCGTCCCTTGATCTCGTACCCTTTGAACAGCGTCTGGACAAGTGTTACGACTCTGGTGTTGATGCTCAGGCTCGGGCCGTGCGGGAAGACCATCGTTCCCAACAAAGCTATGGCAAATGCCAACGGGCGGAGCTCGTTCCACTCCCTGTAGGAAATCTTAAATTCTCGATTATACGCGGCATAGAAACTCGCGTGTCCAAATCTGACGTAGAGATCTCTGAACATTATGTGGGAATCTTGACACCAATAAGTAAAATCCTTTCTTAATCCTAACCAATCCGAGATGTTCTCAACGGAAGGTTTGTTGGGGATAAACACGTCCTCTTGCTTTCGGACTCTTCTTTCTAGACTCGTGCCCACAGTGTCTATGCAATCTCTCATTTCTTCCAATGTAGGGGTGATTTCGGCCGTTCCGAAACGGAAAACCATTCTCTGGCTGTCCCAGTACCCTGTAAGAACCTCGATCAACTCTGGCCAACCGTCCATGTTGATTAGCTCGGTTAAGGCCCCTACATACTTGTTGAGAGTCCGCCTATGATCTCCGTCTAAGTCGTTGTGCCACATTGTTAGTTGGGGTGGCGCGGAGATGACCATGTTGAATTTCGGGAAGCGGACCATAACTGCAAAACAGAAACCCGTTAGACTTTCCCCTACCCCCAAGTTGGTTTTTTCACACATACATTTTCGAATGTCAAATAACATGATGCGTCGTGAGGTCGAAGACCTTAGACGCGATTTTGGTGGTTTTTCTACTAAAATGGACTTTAATACACCTTGGGTATTAAGTCGTCCTAGGCTGATGCCTAATTTTGGTTTTGGTTTCGCTCTAACTTAGGCTTTCTAGAATTGTTTTCAAATAGACGGTTACCCGAGTCGGACAAACATCGGGGTGGAGCTGTCGAATAACGTCGGATGACCGCATTCCGACTATTTATTCGATACTCCCAAATGAGTTCTTGGGTTTTTCTGAAGAAAGTCGCGGTAAGCCGCGTAACTTTCATTTCCTAATGCAACTACTTGCCGTTTGGCGAAATTTATGCCATGAAATGCAATTTCTAGAAAACTAAGTATTTAAACAACTAAACAATTAATTACAAGTAGTCAAATAGGTTAGTCTTAGGGTTAGAATCCTCCAAATAGTCCCCAGCAGAGTCGCCATTTCTGTTTATCGAAAAATGTGATTTCGAAAAGAGTTTGTTTATTTTTAGAAGTATTTTCGACTTTTAGGAGTCGCCACTTAATTTTTAAGAAAAATTAAGAAAACTCATTCTCAAAACAATTTAAACAGAAAAAATCATTTTGAAAATATTTTAGGGGGTTCGGGATTCTTATTAGTGTCTTAGGAAGGTGAAAGGCACCTAAGACACTCCGCTAACTTACGGTTTTCCAACGATTAACTTATTTGACTATTTTGTTTTAACTTTTGCGAATCTTTTGTTATTAAACTTATTAGACATTTACTTAGGCAAATTTTCAAGGTTGGAAATATTCATAGTTTATTTTGCAACTTTTGTGAAGTTATTCCGAAACTCAATTTCCTTGAAGTTTTATCTAAACAAACTTTATGAATTTTGAAATATTATCGCTTCTAAGCTTGATTTTAAAATTTCCAAGTTTGATAAAACAAAAAAGGCGTCGACGGGGTTTGGAGTTTCTAATCCTAGACTAACGATATTCAAGCAAAAGCACGTAAACAAAGAGTAAAGGAGAGAGAGAGAGAGAGAGAGAGGGAGAGAGAAGCGCACGCGTGAGGGAGACGCGAGAGAGGAGAAAGAGACGGGGAGGGAGAGCGTGGGGGAGACGCGGGTTCTGGGAATTGCTGGGTTCTGTTTGTTCTGCGTTTTCTGTTTGGGAATTTTGGTGTGGGTCGTTTGAGGAAGAAGAAGGGGGAAGTCGGGTTCGGGTCGGGTATTTAAGTGTTTTGGGCTGTTGAGTGTAAATGGGCTTGGGGGAATTAATAGCCTAGAGAAAATGTTGGAAAGGGAGGGGAGTGGGCCGCCTGAATATTGGATAGAGGCCCAAATCTGGCTCTTCCAAATTAAATGGAAAAAGAGTTCAAATTTGAATAATAGCCACTTGATTTAAAAATGAATTTGGTATAAATTTATTAACGAGCCTATTTATTTAGTAACATAATTATTTAAATTATAACATAATGATTCAAAATATAGTTGTGATTTAAAGTAAACTAGATTAATAGAATACTTTCTAAACTTAAGATATACATATATACATATACATATACATATACATATATATATATATATATATATATATATATTAATTTTCGCAAGATTTATAAAACTAATTAACTTAAATAATTTGAAAAAATCACGAAGCTCGATAATTAAGTTATATCAACGTGGGTCAAAAATTGGGTGTCAACAGTATACTAGTGAATTTAACCGCACTTCGCGCGGTGATAATTTTTGATATAGTTATTACTTATTAAAATTCAAACTTTAATCTAATCGATTGTTAATATTTGCTTTCCACTAAATTGTATCATTTAAAAGTGTGATATAATTTGAAGAAAGAT